CGGCTCTGGGCGCGTCCGCGGCAGCCTCCCTCCCGCGTCCGCCGGCCGGGGCTCTCACGCACCGGCACTGGGAGTCAGCTCCTCGCAGGCATCGCCGGGTATCCTCCGAGCCTCCAGGATGGGCGGGGATTCCCTCCCGCTGGTTGATTCGAGGGGCGGGAACTCCCTCTTGGAGTGACAGGGATGGGGGCGGGGATTCCCCCCGCAGGAAGGACAAGGTGGGCGGGGATTCCCCGGAGCAAGCCTCTGGGCTGGCAGGACGTCTCTCCCGGTGAACTAGCTGTCCTGGTGCGCCGGCTTCTTAAACCTGGGGATCCTGGGAGGAAACGATCCAGAAAGGGGCTCAGAAATTTCAAGCAGGCAGGCCTTGGGGCGCCACCTAGGTGGAAATGTGCGAGCTAGGGGACTTGAAGTTGCTTTTGCATAGCATTTTACATAGATAGCATCCAGAAAAATGCCCATTACCTTATCAAAGAATGGGGTGGAGAGGCCAAGGAGATAAGACAAGAGCGAACCCTCATCCCCACCCCAAGCTACCCTTGGCCTCTGGTCCTTAGACACTAAAATTAATTTAGCACTGGCGCGAGAATTTCGGGAGAGGGACCTCTCGGCTTCGGAGCGGCCCAATTCCCCAGTGAAGGCCCGAGAGGGAATCCCCGGGCGAGGGGGTGCTTACGGAGCTCGCGAGCGCTGGCTGGGGACTCCTGCTGAGAGGACCCAGAGCGCGAACACCAGTCGCCCTTGGCCTTGTTCCAGGTCACTCGAGGAACAGAAGCCTCAGGATTTTCGGATCCTTCCTTCCCACGGATTTTCAGGAAGGCCTTCAAATATTTTTGGTGGCTTTTTTTTTTTTTTTTTTTGTCATCCTTGTCATTCTGCCTGCCACAGGGAGAGGATGATAAGAACATAATAGGGAGACTGCATAGCTCTGCAAATTAAGCTCTCTTAAGAGGAAAGAGCTGGGCTTTTTCAAGTGCTAGCAGATAAGAGTAAAAACATATGAAAAATTACAAAACCTGGGATAATGAATAGTTGAATAATGCTTTTGACATTTTCTGCAGAGCAGTAATTGGAAATCTTTGCTTTGAGGGGGATGGGAACAGGAATGGGGTGGGGCACAGTTAGGCTGCAGCTCTGCCCAGCAAGGCAATAAGCTCTGGTGTTTTGGAAGAACAGATAGACACAAATCACCTGCACAGACTCCTCGGAGCTGTCCACACATCAGAGACGGGAGCGGTCCCGAGGCATTTCCAGGTGGCATTTTGGGCAGGAGTTGGGGGTGGGTTAGATTCCGCTTTTCTTCAGCTTTTACAGTCACCAACCCAGTGAGATCAATGCCTGCACAAATTCCACCGTCGTGTATTAGAAGCTGTGCATTCTCAGGTACCCGAGCTTCTCTTCCTATCTGCAAAGGGGGGGGGGGGGAACCTAGCGTGCACAATTGCTGCAAGGATCGGCAGTAACACAGCCATTCTGCTCAGCACTTAGGAGGTGCTCAGTGAAATGCTAACTTGCTCTGAAAGGTATTATTGGAATACCCCCAAAATGCTTCCACCTTGTGGAGGACTGGTGCTTTTCTGCTTGTTTTTCAGACCCAGGTTCGTCCTCAGACCCACCACTCTCTGTCAATTTCTGGAGTCATGAAGGGGTAACTCGGGCCTCTCGGCCTCTGTATCCTGTATGCAGCACAGGTCTACCTCCTGTAGCACCCACTAAATTTTGCTGAAGAAATTAATGTGCACTGTGATAATAGGAATTATCACTGAAACCGCATTCACGATTTTGTCCTACCACTCCACTCCAGTCCTTCCATTCTGGCCATGCACTGCTAACCTTTTCCTGTGCCAGAATGACATCCTCACTCTCCTATGTTTGCTGAAATCCCAGAGTTAAATGTTACGCCTTCTGGGAAAGATGTCTGAGCACCAGGGCCAATATCTGGTGTGCTCATCCTCATTAACTGCTGCAGAGGTAGCTCTTTCTGCCAATTACTAACGCAACCCTTGTCAGGTACACCGAGTTACAGTGATCAGTGTGCCATCTCACGTATTTCTAGCTTATATGGTCCTGGAGGGAAAATAACATAGATCTTACTGTGTGTTTCCAGAGTCTAGTGTGCTATAGTGTCTAATCTGTTAGCCACTCAGTAAATATTTACTAAATTAAAACAAATTGTTCAATATATATGTGTGTATTCTGTGTAATGTATTAGGCATAAGTATAATGAACAGATATATATTTTATCATCTTTCTCCTTCAGACTTTGTCCTGCTGACCTGCTTAAAATACTTCTAGTTTCAATCACTTTTCCTCTGATATTTTTTAGATTTTTTTTTTGGTAAGGTCTTGGCTGCTAATAATAGCTCAACTCACAAGGGGTCAATCAAATGCATGGAAATTTTGTTTTGCCCCGGTAGTCTTGTCAAATTGGAAAGTTGACAACTGAAGGCATTTATTTTCCAGTGTTTGAAGGTCAAAATGTAAATCCTTTCTGCCCCCTCATTAAATATTTAGTCACAGATTAGTGCTTCTATCCATTTTGCCATTTTAATTTGTTGCTCATAATCTACATGATGTGGAGGAGGAGGTTGTATACAGAAAAGCCAAGTCTTCAGAGCAAGGAAAGACTAAAATGATGAACAAAAAACAAGCTCTATTACCCTTGGCTACAGTATATCAGTGACAGGTAAAAGAATGCAGTGTCCTTCAGGTAAGTCCAAGTAGCTTGCCAGGGACTGCAGTGGCATTTGCTGTACCTCTGAGCTTCCTCCCTCTGTGAAGAGCCTTCCCACCAGGTAGCTGGAACGGAAGCCGGAAGCTTCATCCGCTCTTGAAAGCCTGCTTTCCATCTTCCCTCCTCAGCTGCTCTTCCAAGCGCTTTTCCAGGGAGAAGGAGGAGCCTTAGTCAACAACTGGCTCGGTTCCCTTTCTCCTCCCAGTCTCTGTGCATTCATTTTATCTCCAAAACAGATTCTAGCTTCCTGTTTACCTAGCTGATTATTCTCCGATTTTTCTTCTGTAAATTTCCAACTAGCTAAATCTTCTATTGGTGACCTGACCCCGTGCTGGAATGAGCCATTCCCTGGCCAAAAAAAAAGCTTAAACAAGCAAATAAACGAAGAACAACAAATAATAATAATGACAGGAAAATATTAATTCAGTGCATCCCAGTCAGGACGGCTTCAGGATTCCCGGGAGACTTGACGGTTCAGATACCCTAACCCCTCAGCCCCTGAAATCACCAGATTCCAGGTTTTTCTTGGGGGAAGGTCTTTGATGCTGCGTTCTTAATCTGACTCCCAGTGGCTGCAGTTTGGGTAGCGCATAGACCATACTAGGAGAAACTGAAGTAGAATGACATAAAATGAGAACAGCTGGGTGTGGTGGCGCATGCCTGTAATCCCAGCACTTGGGAAGCTGAGGCAGGAGGATCATGTAAGTGTGAGGCCAGCCTGGACTGCATAATGAGATCAAGGCCAGACTGAACTAAGTAGCAAGACTCTGTCTCAAGAAAAAAAAAAAAAGAGCCCAAGTTCACTTTCCAGTATTGATCACTGTGGTGATAAATTTTATTTTAAACCTGGATGAAAATTTTGTAATACTTATTTGGTATTAGGCTTAATCTTTTATTAGCCAATACACAACAAGGATCTACCATGGATGCAGCCTCTTTTAAAATATATGTTTAGGAAATCTGGGCATGATGGTAGTATAGGCAGCTAAGTTAGATAGAAGTTAATAGGAGTCAGACAGGGCTAGGCCCTCAAGGGAGTCAGTGCAGAAGATGAGAACGCATCAAAACTGTGGCTGAGGGACTGGGGATTTAGCTCAGCAGCACAGGGCCTGCCTGGCAAGCGCAAGGTCATGAGCTTGATTCCCAGTACTGGAAAAAAAAAAAAAACAACAAAAAAAACCAAAAACAAAAAAACTGGCTGAGGTGCCTCTGAAGAAGGCAAGCCCTCAAGATTAAAGTCACAATGGCCTCACTTACATACTTCTCTAAAGGATAAACGGAAGCTTGAGATTATACTGTAATTGTTATCACCCTTTCGGGATTTCCCATACATAGAGACCATTGTCTCACTAAGTGTGGGCTGTCCTTTTCCACCAAGACTAAGGCCAAGGCTAAGATCATTAAAACTAAAGACAAGACTAAGACCAAGGTTAATGCTGTCCTCCATATGCCCTTGCTATGTTCCCCCAGTTAGCTCAGTTAACTTGCTATGTTCCCCCAGTTACTCGTTCCCACCCCATGATTTTGCCCTATAAAACATTCTCTGGAGAAATGACCTTGGCGGCAATCCATTCAGGATGCCTCCTGTCTCTCAGGAGTTAGACCTATTGCCCATTCCTATTCCCCAGCTCCCAACCGTGTATGCCTCATTCCTCTGGGCACCTGGGCTCTCTTCTTGATTGATTCCTATCTGTCTTTCTCATTAAATCTTTCCCACTCTTAACCTCCATTTTTCCTTGGAATACATTATTTTATTTTGGGGAACTGAACTTGATACATTAGGTTGAGAGTTATATCTTTCCTATATCAGAGGCATATGCCTATAATCCCAGCACTCAAGAAAGAGGCTGAGGCAGGACAATTACTGTGAGTTTGAGGCCATCTTGGACTATATAAGCCAGCCTCTTTCAAAAAAACAAAAAATAAAAATGGAAAATAAAAAATATATGTTTAAGGAAAAAATTTAAGTACTCTTCATCCTATGCATATTGAAAATGAAGTGAGGTGTGGTGGCCAAGTAGTATTATGTCTGTAATCCCAGCAATCTGGAAGGCTGAGGCAGGAAGATCTGAAGTTCAAACTCAATCTCTGCAATTTAGCAATTCAGGGAGAATTTGTCTCAAAAATAAAATAATAAAAAGGGCTGGGGATATAGCTCAGTGCAAAGGCCTTGTGTTCCATCTCTAGTACCACCGAAGATGAGACGCACTCATGAGCGTGATACTGGAATTTATGCAAATGAGCTTTGTCATTTGCCATGTTGTTCAATCTTACTGCACATTGCAGAATTGTGATGTTTGTTTCTTCTGGGCTTCTCCTTATGGAAGAGACTGTTGGTGTGTTCAGGCAACTAAGCCCAAGTATTATTTTATCTCTTTGACTCTCAGTCTTCTGTTTACACC